GTCGGAAGCCTCGACTTCAAGAGTGATGGTCTTCCCAGTCAACGTCTTCACGAAAATCTGCATGGTGCTCTGCAATAAAAGTCCACGTTATATAGAAGATTATCTTTCGAATATCACGAAAAGATTAACTTAAATCAGTTCAATTCCTATTATTTACAACATGAGGGCACGGATAAAGTCACATTGTAGATATCAACATACCTAAAAGGTAAACCGCGTTTACCTTCGCGGGCAAGAAACCGCATAAAATTTCATGTTATACAGAAATTTACATTTCGAATGTCACGAAAGAATTAACTTAAATTATTAATTTATCTAATTATTTACGACACGAGGGCACGGATAAAAATGAAATTGCAGATACCAACATACCTAAAGGAAGGTAAACCGCGTTTACCTTCGCGGGCAAGAAGTCGTATAAAATTTTATATTAATAGCCATAGGCGGAGCAAGTTGTCGACGAGCTCAAAGCTGCATATGTGACGCAGTAAAATCAATGACCGCCATTTTGACTGTCCATGTTGCTCGGATGGCGTTCGACGCCATTTCGATGTACGGAGATAAAGGAACAATAGGGCCGATATTTTGGATTGGTCTGAAGGTTTTCCGCGCGTTTCCTACATTTTTCCTCGCGCTGCCGCGGGAACGATCCGACTTCTCGACTAAATTTCGGAATAATTCGGAAAACTAATGACGAAATATGCTCCGATCGCCGTAACACCGCGGTCAATTTCCGCCTAGCAACAGACTCGGAAAAATCGATACTGCGCGCACCCGGAGAAATCGCTCGTCTGTGCCAAAACCGCGACTTGTTGGGCTATTACAATGTAACTACGACTAAATGAGTCGTACGACAAATTTCCCAAGCGTGTTGACTGGTTGCAGAATAGAAAAATTCTCGAGTCATTCGAAACTTTCTATTTTGCCAATCAGCACGCCTGAAAAATGTATCGATCAACTAATTGAATAGCTCGTAAAGGTCTTAACCTTCTAGAAATTGTCTATTTTGCAGCCAGTCGACATGCTTGAACAATTTGTCGCACGACAAACGTAATACTAGCCTTAAACGTAGCGTACAAATTTCACGATTATCATCATTATTATTACCCATCCTTACACGCGCAAACAAGTTTTTGGCCGAAAATTCGCGATCAGATATTTTTGTTAATAAGTCTGACGGGCATACCTTTTGTTTGAAAGCCTCTCGTTGCCTGTATTTTACGTAGAACGACTTGAGGAACTGTCGTGGGAACAAGTACGCTTCTCTGGTCGAACTCACAAGTACTAAACCAGGGAGTGACGCGAGCTCACTTTATATACATCGTGCCCAATTGACGTTGCGCATGACTCAGCCGTTCAGCTCCCGTTGTCCGATTGGCTCAAGTAGCGTCGACGACGCCCGCCGATTGGCCCGTCGGAGCGCGTCACTGGGCCGATGTAGCACTATGACTAACCTGTATCGACACAAAGAACGAGGGAACACTCTGGAAGATCGTTCTGCATCGTTCTATATGTATGCATACAGAGCGTCGCAAAGTTAATCGCCCTGTCTCGCGAGAGGTGATAAATTTCCTCGCGAACGAATACCACGTACTTGAAAGAGGCGTGTATCTCGGGACTGGGTTGTGTCCCAAGGGTCGACAATTTTCTGCCACTTATGATAATATAGAAGAAGATAGAGAGTCGACTAACTTCTGGTTAACTGTCAACCAGAGGTTAATTAATTCTCCGTCTCTTTTGCGATACTATATAAAGGAAGATAAGGTCGACTAACTGGTGGCTAACAGTCGACCAGAGAATGAAAACTCGGGCCTGAGCGAGTCGACATCCCGACCTGCGATTATGATGAAACCTTGTCAATAACCCAGAAAACACTTTGCGCGCAAACATTATGACGACGCACTTTGATAGAATTTTGCGTGCGTTGTCGAGCCATTTTTGTACGTGAGTCGACAGATATTTGCGCGCAAAATTATACGTTAATACATGAGCCAGCCACTTGTGTGCAAAAGCACAGACTAAACATACTTTACGGACAAAACTCTGGCAAATCTCATAGAAATTTGCACGCATAAGACGAGCAAAATTTGCGCGCAAAAATTGTTATCTTGGATGCTAAGTGTGTCAACAGATTGACGACAGAATCTGTGACGCTCCCCGACGAGAAATGGCTCGTAGATCTACGTCGAAATAGTATCCAAATCGACGTCGATCGAGGAAGCTGAATCTGACGGCAGGTCGACGACGAAAGCCGAGCAAGGGAGATGCGGCGATTTATTTTACGACTCCCTGTATGCGTATACGTCTGTCCCCTTTTAGCGGATACCGTTATAATTTCACCCGAACCTCGGCATTGGGAAACGATTCTCACGTTTATTTATCCGCAACGATATTTCTCCTCTCAATATCGTTAATGAGACGCTAATTGCACGAGATGATGCAATTCTTAAATATTGCGCAAGCTGATTATGCAAAAAAAAGTCCTTGGGTGAGAAATTATTTAGCGCTGACTATAAGTTACTTCTCTCAACAATTCCACAAGAGTGGTTTCGATGAATGTTCATGCTATTTGAGTGCGTTTTCGTTATCAGTGGAGGGGAGAGTATTTTTGAGTCTTAATCCTATAAATCGGACGCACGTTGGTCACGAGGCCGCGAAAGCATGTCGCAAAATTGGATTCGCAGAACTGCCGAGTCATAAGCGCAAGTCGCAGTTCTAACGATTGCAACTGACGCAATATCGCGCACGAAAATAAGATACCACGTTAATCGATCGTACGCGTGCGTATTGTTCTTTTCGGAGGGCGACCTTGTTGCTTATCTTCAAATTTACAAAGTGCGCCTCGAGCGATCTTCCTCCTTTCTCGCGAAAATATTTACTGAAACTGTCGTAGGACGATCAGCGGAAAACTTAGATAAAATCATGTTCAAATACTTCAAGTTCGAAAAATAACTGATAAACCATGGGTACGTTGGCCTTTACCTGTGAACAAAACACTGTTGAAAAGGAAAGGAGCAATATCAAGGGAAACCAGCATGTTAATTCTCACAATTAGAAATATCATAAGCCCGCAGTTTCACCGTACACATGTTCGTTTTATTCAATGATCATTCAAAAATATAGAACAGAAAATCTACAAAAGTCGGAAGAAATTCGCTTAAATGAAGGAAAAGTGCCTGAAAGTTGAAATGTTTAGGTTTCAACTCGACTGGCGTCGATTAAGAATCTGCAAATGAAACTAAATGATTTTAGTGATCGTGTTAAAGAAAGAAGAAAAAACGTTAACACGTGCACATACTCCGCATCGGGGCATCAAGCATCATCCAAGTTGTCGAGTTATAAATATTCTTCGTCGCTATTTTCTGCGTGAGTCACGTACGTGACAATAGCATACATCATAAATGGTTGTCACTTTGTGCAGAAGTGAGAAAGAGAAAAGATATATTTCCTACACGTACTGACTACACACACAACATACACACGAAATCTCAATATAATCTATTGCCTACCCTTAACTTCAAACTTAGAAATGTTCGTCGTCTACTACCACTGGTTCGTTCAGATTCCTCCTGTTCTTACTGACCGCCTAACCGAGACAAATCGGAACTTGTCCGAAATTCAATGAACGCGTCCGTCAGTCTCGTAGATACAAATCTAATATCAGAACTAATCGTATCACGTTTCTTCAAGAAAATTAGATCAAGTCAATCGAAGCTTTGTCTAACATAGCGCTATTCATTTTGTGACACGTTTATTACATGATGTTCGAATACATCGTGGGAGAAAAAAAAAATAATCATTGTCATGAAAAAAAAACAATTCGCGATAGAGACGTGGAGACAAAGAGCGCTCGCTATTGTAGCTCGACAAACGCGTCTCATATCTTCCTACAATCTTTCATCATTTCTCAGATTACGCATACCCTTACAATCGTGACAAATGTCAACCGTTCCATGGCTTTGTCCTTATTCGAAGATATTTCTCCTCCTAAACAAGCAGCAACTGACACGGCGGGGAAAAAAACTGCTTCTCTTATGCTAGATAAGTTAATAGGTAATTCGTATATCGCGGTACGAATCTTTTGGTAGATCTTCTACTTGGAGTCTGTCTCCATTTTGATCTCCTCCGCCTTCTTGTCCTTCTTCGAAGCCTCACTGTCCGTGCCCTCTCCGTTGCTGTTGTCGCGTCTTCGCTTTCGGGCGAATCGACCCTTGAATTTCGGCGGCGGCAGTTGTTCCATACCTAGGACTTTGTGAATCTGACGGAACGCCACTAGTCGCAACGCATGTTGCGCGGACGCGGTAATATCTTCCCTCTGTTGAGACGTCATGTTTCCTATCGCGTCAACTGGCTCCTTCTCGCACGGATCGGATAATCCTGAGATTAAGACATTTATGACTCAACATTGATTGCCGCGCATTATCTTCGAATCGATACTACACAGCTGTACAATTTGGATCAGATTGCCATATCATCTGCGCGCATAGCGGAATGTGCGATCATGATAAACGAGAACAAAATACTTGTACACGAAATCAAAAATCACCTCCGCAATACGCTCAGTCTCGTCATCTTGTTTCATCATTTGAAGGTAGAAAACTGATAAAAATATCGTAACGTGATAGCAAGTGAGGGCTGGAAAGCTTACCTGGACTACCCGGTAGCAATATTCCTCCAGCTACGCATTCTAGAAGTCTTCTGAGGGCTTCACCGGGACTAAGAGGGCCTCCCGCAGTGCTAATCACCTTCTCAGTCAACAGTTCCAATGCCTGTACGCAGTGAAAAGCGAGTTATTGAGAATCGGAAAATGGTGAGAGAGCGCGCGCTAACGAGAGATGTGCACGCTCGTACACTTACCCAAGGATTTAACGGACCCCATGTTGGCACACGATTGCACAGGTCACGCATTATACGGATAACCATAACGCAGCTCTGCAGCGAGGTGGCTCTAGCCTGTTGAACAGGATTGACATTTGAAAAAGGACGATTTTAATATACACAACAGATGCACTGGCTCCCTTCTGGAGACGGCCTAAACTACCCTTCGACTTTGCTTTGTGTGGGCTTTAGCTATCCTCCCAGCCTCGTGCCTAATGCCCCTAATAGTATTAGCCCATATCAATATTACCGGGTGTTTATCGATCACTCTTTCCTAGACGTTAGTACCCTGTCGTAATAATTAAAAAAAAAGCCAGAGCTCATAGATCTCAAGGAAACTGTGCATACGTATAATACATCTGAAAAGCAACTTAGGACTCGACTCTAAATCTACAGAAACACCCGGTACACTTATGACGCGCTACTGTGTGTTTGTGCTTGTCTGTCTCTTTTAATCTCCAAAGCTGTGCAGTTAACGCACATAAATTGTCATAATACAAAAATGGAACGAAATACATAATCTCACAAAAGCTGTACTGTTTGTCGATTTGCTTTCAAGTTAAGACAGACCTAGAACAGACGCAGCCTAGGCTACAACGCATTAAGGACGATCCAGAATAATGAATTTATGCTTGTGGCACCGTAAAGCAATCGAGCGATCTGCATTAGTAAAGAAAATAAAGAAAATTTCACATTCATTCTAGGGAGAACAAATGAACTGTAACTCGAATTTGCGAACGGCCTTCGGCAGAACGGTTGCTATTATTCTGGATGTTGAAGATTTCAAAGCCAAGCAGATGTAAATGCATCTAGCAGCATTTGCGCGTGACTGTCGAGATACACATTTACATGTTGCTTACTTGCAGAGGATTTCTTGCCTGATAATATATCTGATCGCATGTTCGATGTGCGATTAGCTTACTCTCCCACGTACGGACGATGCCACTGTTACCCATGTGTGTCGCAACTATTTCGGACCAATTCTTCAAATCATATTTAAGTGATAAACGGCAGTCCGAAACGCAAACGTAAAATCCAAGACTCGACGAGGAGAATACAGTGGGCAAAGCCGACTGGTTCGTGTGCGTTTGAAAATTCAGCGGATATGGAAACGGACGAACATCGAACGTGATCAAATAAGCAATTCAGACAGAATCGTGTCGACGACGGGTCGGTTAATGATAAAAAATAAAACCGTGTCACAAGGCTGGAAGTCTCTAAGATTGCTTTCTTCTCTTTTTCTTTCTTTCTTTTTCTGGAGGGGGTCTGTTTTGTTTTGACTCGATAGATTGTCTTAAGAGAGAGAGAGAGAGAGAAAGGACAACTTGCACGCGTCTCGCGTTTCTTCGTCAGGAGAAAATAAAAGAAAATACTTTGTTACATAGCGCCAAACGAGAACGTGGCACCGACAATTCGAGTTTCTTGAACTGAGAGTTGTTGGATTCAAACCTGAAACCACTTGGCATGCCTGAGTGCAGCTAAAGCCTCCAAACACTTAGCCTTGGGAAGTACATCTGGTGGGTCTGGTTTCGTCACGGTGGGGGCCGCGGGCGTTGTTTGCAGTTGAGCAGCTTCCTGCTGCTGCTGTCCAGCATTATCTGAGATTCCAACAAAGAAAGCACAACACGCTTAGACAACACTTAGAGTGTTTGATCATGCCCAGAGATTTTAGGTATTCCCTCGCTCTATTAATATTTCGTTTCAACTTAAGCACCTTTAAATTGTGGGCCATACCCGTGATAAATACCAACGTGAAAAAAGAAATATACATAAGCCTGATCGAATGTAGTACGTTTTGCAATGCACCGAGTTCATGCACCCCCGTGGAAACGTTCTTTCTCAGATCGTTCTCTCTGCCGCTCAAGAACGCTCGACGATTCCTATCAGCATCGGTAGTCTCACCTCTATCCGCTTAAAAGGTAGGTAGCACCGATGCCGATAGAACGGTCGGTTAAGATTCAGAGGTACGTAGTGCACATCGCAGAATGCGCGTACAGCATTCGATAACAGTCAGAGGGATTTTCTGTCTTTTTTTATGCATGATCAAAAAGTCCATAGTTTTAAGATTGCCTCAGCGTTGTTTCCTCCTATCGCAAGCGTGTCCACGTTCAATGAAATCTCTCGTTGGTATCGTTCGTCGATGGAGAGAGACTCTAGCTCGAATATTCATTCTCGAGAGAAAGTTACATTACAAATCGCTACTGTAAATGAAATAACGCGCGACAATGGAGACTGCTTTCTAACCGCGTATCGGATTTACGCTCTCCTTTCTGTCAAATTTGTCTCAATAACGTTCGAGTATCGTTTTTGCGACGTACTCTTACGGTCGGAAATTATTTCTACAAAGAGGACTCGGTCGTGGACACACTAAGACACGCAGCTATATCGAAGAGGAAATTAACTTTATGTTAGAGCGTTATGTACACTGGCAACCGGCGAATCGTCCTTGGCTGCCCCGCATCGTCCTGGTGCTTAAAAAAACTTACAGAAAATCTTCCGGGCCATGAAAAGAACAAACTAAATGTACAAATCGCAGAGTAGATCGAGAAAACGGCATGAAAATAAAAAAGAGGTGCATAATTCCGGCAGAAAAACCCCGCATCGCCTTCGTAGTTATCCTTTTCTTGGCCACCGTAAAAATGCGAAACAATGAAATCACCTGCTGCCGGGATCGCCTTGGGAGTCTCGCGCATCAAGGGACTGGTAAGGGTCACGCTGACGGTGACGGTACCGCCTGAGACTGTCAGAGCCGCGGATTCCGGATGCTTCCCGACGTTGTAGGTCTCCTCAGGAGCTACGTTCTTTAATTCACCGGGCAAAATCTCCGCGACCTTATTGAGCAATGTCCTACAAAAACGAGCAGACTTGTATGTTATGTACGCGCGATTGCCGGTTTACCGCAAGGGAATCATCCGAAATACCTGGTAGGTTTTTCTGCGCACAAGACAACGAGACAAACGTGATTGTCTCCGGATAGCAACAGTCCTTTGGCCAAGTTTCCAACGCGCATAACGCCACGCAGTATCCTAGAATCTTCTTTCTCCTTCTGAAACGAGAATAGATTCCCGTCGCTACCATCCTCCTTTTGTGGCGTCATCGCTTTCTTCTTGTCGGCCTCGTCCTTCTTCAACGCGTCGGCGTTCGCCTGCGGGGCACTGGCCGGAACCGTTGCTGCCGCAGTAGCGTTGGCACTGGCAGGAGTGCTCTTTTTGCCTGCGAGTAACGCATCCGTGTAATCCATGTAATCCACAAAAGTTTGCGAAAGACGCAAGTTCGAAAAGTACTCACCAGCCTCAGCCAAGGCATCCGACACGAACTTCAATGCCTTCTCCGTGTGGGAAACTATTTTCTGGACCGCCAACAGTTCTTGTTCCTTGGGATAGATAGTCGTGTGGTGAGCCAATACATGTTTATCGTCCGACGAGTCCGGCCGTCTTTGCGGTCCCGGGAACATCATTATGGGCGGCGGTCCTTGGAACGGACGCGGAATCGGCGGAGCGCCCGGCCCACGTCCGTATCGTCGGTACCACTCGTAATATTCACACTCCTCCTCGTAGCGGCGCCTCTCCTCCCAGTATATCATCTCCTCGTCCATCATGGGTCCCATAGGGCCCAACTGATTGATCTCCTCCCGGCGACGTAGATACTCGTCGCGCATCTGCTGCCTACGCAGCTTCTCCTCCAACATTTTGCGCTGCTTAAGACTCGGTTTCATGTCCACGACCAAATCGGGGTTGACCTTCTTCTTGTAGGCGAATCTGTGACGGCGACCCTTCATATGCATGTCTTTGGCATTGGGATCATTGAACCGACACTCGCACAGTTTACAATTGAAGCTTATAATCTTCCCGTCCTCGGACTTGTTCTCCTCGATGTACTCCTGGCCGACCGGCTGAATGTCTTTCTCATCGACCGCGGCCTCCTCCACGGCTTCTTCGGTAGCCGGTTCCTCCTGCTTAACTTCTGCAGTTTGATTCTGGTTCACCGTGCCCAAGTTGCCAGCTGAAACATTCGCAGAAATACAAATGCTTTATAAATCTTAGAAAACGTTCGCGAAATATCGCTGACTTTTGGTAAGACTCTTGTAACGGGAAGAAACGCGAGGATTTACTCACAGGCGACGAAGTTGATCTTAGGCGTAGCTGTAACCGTCGGCTTCTTGGTAGCCGCAGCTTTCGCGGCTGCTGCTGGCTTTGGATTCAGGACAGTCGGATCCGCGCTCGGTATAGGCTTGCCAAGCTTGGTGTGCAACTTGACAACCTTCTGATGTTTAGCACCCCTTATGTGAGCGGCGTAAGCATCGTTTCCGGTACAAGTGACATCACACAGTTCGCATCGAAGACTGTTGCCCGCTCCACGCGCTGGCGGCTGCTGCGGTACCTTCAGGGAGGCCTCCTTCTTCTTGTGCTTCTGCCCCTCGAGATGCTCACGGTAGGTCTGTGGCCCGGCGCAGCTGATCTTACAGACATCGCAATAGTGCAGTTGCTGAGGCTTAGGAGGCTGCTTGGGCCGCATTGCCTTCATCCCTCCACCGCCGGCGCCGAATCCCTTCCGTCCGTAGCCCTGCCAACCTCCAGTCTTCTGGTTAGTGGAATTGCTGTTTGCACTCTGTTGGGCTACATACATAGTCGCAGCGCTATATAGCGCTGCGTCGTAGCCGGAATACGTTGTGTTCGCCGTTTCTAAGGGAAATGAAATTGAAACCTCAAACTTTGGAGGGGCCCAAAATCATTTGTACTTTTGCGCGGCACAAAATTTTTCTTTTCTTTTTACTATTATACTCATTTCACAAGATGCATCGAGAGACGAACCACAATGACGAAACACCGACGGGGAAATTGGACGTACTCGAGAACGCGCTCCGTACTTGGGAGCGGACGAAAAGAAATTTCTGACTACTGCTAAATCCTCGAGCCGTTGCTCACAGTCGAGAATGCTAGCAGAGCTCTGCGAGATTTTTGCCTCTGGCTCATTTTCTTTTGTTCATACGCGTATCGTGAGAGGATCAATTTCATGTTATTAGTTTCTACGTCACAGTTAGTGGTCAAGAGAGGACCGAAGATACTTAAACTTAAGAGTGTACAAGCGGTGAGCACACTTACTATTTGTCGCGGTCGACGGAGTGGCGGCGGGCGTAGCCGGAGCCGTGTATCCCGACGAGTAAGTGGCGCTCTGCGTAGGATTCGACTGCTGATAAGCTGTGCTGGAGGCTTGATAGGTCTTAGCCTGCCCGGTAGTAGTGGCTTGTCTAGCGGTGCCTGTGTAGGCGCTGGTCGTGCTGTAAGCGGGTTTCGTAGCCTGGTAGTGAGTCTCAGTGGTGGTGTACGTGGCTGCGGCGGCCGCCGGTTGCTGGTAATAAGTCTTGGTCGCGTCGTACGTGGCCGCCGGTGCAGCTCGTCCGTAGCCGTAGTCGTAGGTCTGAGCTACGGTGCCAGCATTTGCAGCTGCAAGGAGAAACATACGGTGACACGACTGCCGTTGTAACGTCTGTTCTTTGTAGCTCAATTAACTGCACTAGTCCGGAGTCTACAGGGCTGTTTTCGCGAAAAGATCAAAATGACCTTTTGCTACGATTGGTCAAATCTGAAATTTCATTGAAGAAAATTTCAATGTGACGCTATGAAATTTCAGATTTGACGATCAGAGCATAAGGTCATTTTAATCTGGATCTAGGCAGTATTTATTGACCATGTCTGGCAAGTTTGATACAGTTGTTAGTCGCAACGTTTCGACCACAATTTTTGGCCCTTATCAAGCGATCTAAAAATTACATCTATGTTTGTACAAGAGTTTTACAATCAGTAGTGTGATGGAACTAATCGAGAGTGAGAATTGGTGATTTAACAAAAAAACAAAATATGAAGACATGAAATAAAATGTTATAAATGTCAAGTTTGCACCTGGTGTTGCATTTTCGTATTCAATGTTAGGTTTAGACGAAGCGTATGGCGTATTAAAATTAGAACTTACAATGATGTGCGGTTAGTCAGTGTGTGTAAGAGAGAGCCTAGGAGTTGGTTTCTCGAGACTCCGAGCATGACTAAGAGATTCCGAGACGTTTTGGAAGGTTGAGAGAGTTGAAAGTAGGGGAAAGTCAAGATGTAATAAATAAATAAGTAACAGGTCAAGAGTGAAAAATAGCTAAGGAATTAAATATAGTTTTAAGTTGGAGAAATGTGGTCATATTTAGAGTTTAAATTTTCTGTGCCACACTACTTTCCGTCAATAGTTTCCACCTAGAAAATACTACTCTTATCAAACTTGCCAGACATGGTCAATAAATACTGCCTATTTTTAATTACTTCTGGCGACTTATAAGAATGTTCCAAAATATTAATCTGGATCATTTTGATCTTCTCGCGAAAGCAGCCCAGGTCTGTTCTCTACAGCTTTACAGCTTTTCTCTCTGTAGAAAGAAAAGGAGGAACTCTGAACCGGTCAGCTCGGTTAATGCGTCTTCACCAACATCGTTTAACTTTGATCTTAAGCTAGCGGCATAGGATGCTCTTTTGCTTGCGTGCACCTTTGCTGGCTAGTGAGAGCCAATCAGGATTCCAAGTGATAGGTCGGACGAGTTAAGATTGCATCCTGATTGGCTCTCACCAGCCAGTAAAGGCATAGTATAGCCGTAGTACAACTAGTAGGTCCACTCAGTCATTTGCTCCGTTTTGCTTCGATCCCTTTTGCGCCTCCGACATTGTTCTGGGCAGACCAATGAGAGAAAATGTATCAAAGCTACACTACCGCACATACAACTACAGTACGTGCACACACATACGCCGCTGGATTGCTGCGTAAAGTAATGGCGGAATACCGCGTGATTGGGGCCGCCAGAGAGTGGACCTATGATATGGCAAAGGTGCTCGCAAGTAAACCAGCAAGCAAAAAAAGCATCGTGTGCCACTGGCTTCAGCTTAATTCATCCTTTTGTCTCCTTAAGGCCTGCGTCCACAGTGCTAGAACTTGGCCCAAGTGGACGCAGGCTTTCAGGAAGAGACGCAGGATGATTCAGGTTCATTTTTACCAACACAGATTAATTCAAGTCGCTGCTTAACCAAGTTTTTATCTTTTTCCAATTATCGAAACCAGAAAAAGACAAAAGGCAAGTTAAACCGAGATCAAAGTTATCCTGCATTGGTAGAAATGGGCATTGGACCAAGATCGAAGTTAAGCGCCGTCAATGAAAACCAGAGTAAAAAGAACAGACCCCTCCCCTCTCTCTCTCCCTCTTCTTCTGGTGTGGAGGAAGAGAGGCGAGTTTTAAAAACTATTGTTGGTCCTTGATAATGGCTCCCGGCCCATACCACTGGGCCGACACAGCCACGACGAACTAATAGACATTGCAGAATTACAGACGATTAATTGGTAATATTATACAATGCACTCGCGCGGGATGACGCAACCCCGCAGGATAAAAAAATCTTTCTTCTAGGTTAGAAGATATGCCGTTCATTCAACGTCGCAAGTGCAACTTTTCTAAAAACTAGTACAATTTAGTTACGAAGAATAGGACCTACTGTATCGCCTAAAACGAATGTAACTCAGGTATAAGTTTAGATATTCTTGCGTGGTTTCTTTCTCTCTCAAACAAAAAAACTCCAGTTAGCTATTCAGCCCATCGAAAACTGGAAGGACATGGAAGCTTGCGGAAAGAACTTGGCGCGAGTGCAGCGAGTGGAGCTGCACTCGCACCTGAGTCAGCATTTTCGTTTCTCCACGATAGCCACGAGCGTGCTCGCTCGTCCAGATCACGGAAAGAAAGAAATGATTCAGGCCCGCGAGCGTGTTCGCGTCTACGATTCGAATCTAGCCACGTCCCTCTCCCCCAGGACGATCGATCGGCGAGCGTGGCTCTCGGCGCCGAACTCACCTGCGTAAGTCGTCCCGGTCGCGGCGGCTGCGGCAGCCGCTTGATAGGTCTCGTAGCCGGTCGCAGCGGCGGCGGCGGGTCGCTGGGTGTACGTGGCAGCAGTCGCCGCCGGCGTTACCGCGTATCCCGGCTGGCCGGCCTGATATGCGGCGCTGGTCGCCCTGTTTTGCGAGAAACGGTAAGAGAGAATGATGACGGCCGACACGCGGCGTCCCGACGGGGCGCGCGGTCGCCCGCGCGAGGAGTCGCGACGGCGACGCGGACGCCGCCGGAGAGGGTCCGCCGGCGAGGCGAGGCTTTTCCTGCCCGCGGGAAGACGCTCGACGGAGACGCCAGATCGCTCGGCGGCCGAGAGTAATGGCCGCCGAGCCGGCAGGGCCCCCCTCAGGCGGCGTGCCGTCGTCGGAAGCGCGGCCGGTTCCTCGTCCGCCGCCGCGGACGCCGCGCGTCCGCGAGTCCTCGCGCGGATTAGCGCCAGGCGCCTAACGGTAATGATAATGCAAGCGATTTCGTACCCATACTGCGTCCCGCCGTGGGTAAATCCGAAATAATTGTTCTGAGCCATCCTTCCTCGCGGAGAGAACCTCGGAAAGAAGGACAATGGAGGAAGTGTCGTAGGGCGGTGCCACGAGCGCTCACGGCGGAACGCGGCGGCGGCGGCGGCGGCGGCGGCGCTGGCGCGCGCGGCGCCGATTGGCCGGCCGGGCGGCGAGCGTGGCGCCCTCGGTGGCCATTTCCGCGAGAGCCGCCGGCCGGCAACGGCGCGCGCGGCCCCCGAAATGCATTACGCTTCCGCGCGAGACGCCCGCGCCCGCGCGGAACGCGCGCCTTCTTGTCGCCGCGCTCACGCACCCTGCCTGCTGCCCGCCGACGCCGCGCGAGAGACGGACACGAACGGGGGAGTGATGCGAGAGAAAGAAAGCGAGACAGAGAGGAAATGAAGTAAGAGACAGAGAGAGCGGCAGCGCGGGGAGAAACGACCGGGCCGGACGGAGCGTATGCGGCCCTTAATCGAGCCTGACAAAACTTACTGCGTGTCTCTCGGCTATTCGCCGGGCCGCCGGGGCTAGGTGGAGCGTGGATAGCGGTGGAGAGATCTCGCCGCCCGGAGAAATAATCTCGCGGCTGGTGGTCGCGCGCGCGTGTCCGCGTCACGTCGCGTCGCGTCGTCGCGCGACGGCGCGGCGCGTCGGACGCACGTACGCGGGGCGTGTGCGCGGGGAGAAGGGCTCGAGCTCTCGCCGCCGGTGGGAGAACGTGCGTGCGTTCGTACGTTCGTTCGTGCGTGCGTACGTGGCGTGCGCGGGCTGCCGCTTCGTCGGCGCGCTCGCCTCGCTCGCCGTGCCCGTGTAGCGTGGAGCCCAGGCGATATGGGAGAATCGCGAGAATCGTTCGCGCACGCGCGTAATTGGGGGAGGAGCGCGGGCGCCATCTGGCGGGCGCCGCCGACGTCCTCGTCCGCGAGGGAAATCGCGACGTTATCGACGACTTCGCGTGCGCGGTATCAGCTCTGCTCCTGAGACACGCGAGATATTCCACGCCCTGGCACGTTGAAGCGAAACTGTAATTGGTATCGCGGCCTCAGTTAATCTGCATCGGTCACGCACGTTGCTACTCGCCCGCGTGTGCTGTGCGCGAGATTACATGAGAGCCGACTTTTAGTGAGTACGCCTCGCGAATATCCGCCGGCGCTTCCAATTCCACCGTCCGCGAGTACCAGTTGGTAATTGTCAGTTGTAATGTCGAGCTCTTGACTCGCCACTTTCCGCACTTCGCCGGGAGATCTCGCGGTGCGAATGAAGATGGGTCCGACGGTCTTCGCCTTATTATTGCACCTGTCGTCGGTTGCGTCGAGGAATATCGTGCTGATTCTTACCGACGATCAGGATTCCGTTTTGGATGGCATGGTAGCGTCTGTTTCCTCCAAATTAATTTGAAACAAGAGAAATAAGATAGAGACCTTGTTCTAATATGTCGACGAATCTATTATAGAAACGCAGGAAATTGTGAAATAAGATTTCAGTTATTTTTGACGAAAAACGTTACTTCGGATGTTCGTTCTCGTCCTGATTTTATTTATTATTTTAGACGCCGATGACAAACACTCTGAATCTCATAGGACGTCGGGGCGCGACATTTACAAATTGCGTGAGTTGGCTTTTGTTTTCGCGACAGAGACTCTGTCAACAGATTGTCGGCGGAAACTGAGCGGGTTCAATTGTGTGAGCAGATTTTGTTGCATTTCTGGCGACACGTCGAACACATCAGTTCCTGTATGCAATCTGCGGTCTTTCTGCCCTAAAAATTTGTAGCGGGCATTTGACGAAATCTGCTCTGGCCGCGTTTATTCCAAGATGGCAGATTTCGCCATCTTGGAATAAACGCGGAAATTATTCTTTTCATTAAATGTTCGTACTCTGAATTCGCCGTTCAGTTTGCAGCCTCGCCGGTCTGCTGCCCCAATCGCGCGAGCATCCTGACCGGACTATACCAGCACAATCATCTGACGGTGAACAATTCCGTCGCCGGTAATTGTAGTAGCCCGCAGTGGCAAGACGAACACGAGGTGTTGACATACGCCACCCTTTTGAAATACGTCGTCGGATACACGACGTTTTACGCGGGGAAATATCTGAACCAGGTAGACATTTCCTCGGCGGCCGCTCGAGTCGACCCCGAGGACAATTTATTCCCGCCACCTTGTACGAGTAGACACGATTCCGTTTGAATTTTACGGAAGGACTTAATTTATTTCGAATTTTCGGAATCTTAGGGCCTATCCAGAGACAAATTTGCGTAATAGGCGCGTAAGCATATGCGTAGAGAAATTGATTGGTCTATTTCCTTATGCACGCACTCATGACCCAATCAGATTTCTTACGCGTACATATGTTTGTGCGCTAAGCAAGTTTTAACGTTCAGGAAAGTAGCGTAAAAGTTAGATAAAAAAATTTTTGAAAGTCGCTCTCCCGCGATTACCATTTGCGAAATTCATCTGTTCTTTTCTGCGAATACCACTTTTAAAATAAATGCGCATGCGACAGTACGGAACCAAGGAGGCCGGCGGCCCGGCTTATGTGCCAGAAGGATGGGACTGGTGGGCCGGTCTTGTAGGAAACTCGAGGTATTACGATTATTCGTTATCCATAAACGGTACCGAGAGAAAGTACGGCAACAGCCCGAGCGATTACCTTACCGACGTGATCGTGAGTATCCCGAAAAACGCTCGACCCGCTCGACATACAACCGAGGGCAAAAACCTTATTTGGTTCGGATACAGCGAGTAAAACTTGCATCAATTCTTTCTTCTACTTTCTCCGTTTCTTCGAACAGTCTCCTAAAGAGCCGCTTCGTCTCGAGTCTATTTTTAAATAATTTATTAAAAAAAAATCAATCGAATCGAACACCGTTTTTGCCCTTTATTGTACACGGGAATTTCAAACTTTTCATCTCTTATTACAATCATTTCCCCTGGTAAAATGTACCTTAGAAAAGCTTAAAATTTTACTTTAGAAAAATAAGAAATATGAAAAGTAAATGTGGACACTTTAAACTTTTATTTGAGGTAAACTTAAAACTTACTTTATGAATTTAAAGGAGAACTTTATGACTTGTGAAAAGTATGTGATGTAATTTATAATACCGCGCGCGGTTACGAGAAAGTGCTAAGCCGCGCGGCCCTCTGGCGGGACCTTCGACAGGCTTGGCTATTAAAAAAATTACTTCAAATGTCCAGAATTACTCAAAATTTTCTTAAGTAAACTTGTAGCTTCCTTAAGTAAACCCTTAGATTTGAAAGATTACTTTTAAAAACTTCAATTTCATTTAAAGTAAATTTTTCCAAGGGAATTGAGCTCGCGCCACGTAGAATTTGCTCGAAAAAAAAGTAAGTAAAAGAGTTAGCCATGTATATATTTCAGAATAATCTGGCAGTAGATTTCATCAAAGCGTATTCCGGTAACAAACCCTTCCTCATGGTGTTAGCACCGCCAGCTCCTCATGCGCCATTTACACCCGCCAACAGACACGACGGGAGATACAACGGCACGAAGGCGAAAAGAACTCGGAACTTTAATGTGCCCGTGGACAAGGTTATATAATGATTGAATGCTGCACGGATTCCCTAAGTTTCCCCCATTTTAGGCTGTATAATTGATGCCGAGAATCAGAACGGAATTCTACTTAGGCTCTTGTCGCCGTTTGATACACGGAAAATTTAAATCTAAAATCAGCACACACCAGTATAGATACCATATAATACTGAAGCCCGTTTTCATCAACGTCGCCTACTTTAATTTCAGCTTAATTCATTCTTTTTAGGCCCGGTTTCACCAAACGTCGCTTTAATTTTAATCTTAGTTTATTCGCGTTTGTCTCTTTCTAAAGTATAATAGTTGAAAAGAGACAAAGAACGAATTAAGCTAAGCTTAAAGTTAAACAACGTTGGAAAAACCGGACCTTAGCTCTTTCTAGGGCCACAGTTAGAAAGAGACGAAGGATGAATTAAGCCGAGTTTTAAGCTAAGGTTCAAGTTAAGCGACATCGATGAAACCGGGGATCTAAGACACAAAATTATGAGTAGAATTCTATCCCGAAATCTCTGACGTAAATGTAAGTCGTCTCAAGTAGACTTTATTTCTTAAAAAAATAGGACAAACATTGGTTAGTTAGGCAAGGTCCGAACCCTTTGCCGGACAGTCTATTGCCGAAATTAGACGAGATGTACAGGAGAAGGTGGGAAACTTTGTTGGCAGTAGACGAACTTGTTAAGAACGTGCACGACTTATTGAAGGAGCGGAATCTCTTGAACGACACGTACTTTATTTACACCTCCGACAATGGATTTCACATTGGTAGGTGATTTACGACAACGGGTCCGATAATATTGAAACATTAGACACAAACGCGGAACCGCACGGAACGTTAGGGAACAAAGAACGTTGGATTCGCCAAAAAATTTTGTTAAGTCGCTTAGACATTGAAGGATTCTTTAGAAAATTAAAATAATTCAACACTGAATAACAAGGTTGAGAAGTAACTCGTTACTTGTAATGAAGCTACAGTTACAATTACTGTTTTATTTTGTAACTCTAACTTAACTCGTTACTTTCTCTCCGTCTGTAACTGTAACTTAATTCAGTTACATTTTTTTTATAACTAGTAACTACTTTAATAATTACATTAATAGTTACTTTATATATTTTTTAAACCTCCACAGATCGCATTAAGCTTCGCATAAGCGCATAAACGGCTTCATCGACACTTAATAATTTAAATGCAGATTTGGTATTTTTAACTAATAAGAATATTCTTAAATATCGCCAGCAGTAATTAACAACATCAGTGTTTCCTTGACCGTATAATAATACAGAAAATTTTCCGTATTATTAAAATTGCCAGAAACGGTCAAGAAAACACTGATGTTGTTGATATTTTTATTTTTACTGCAAGTAAATAACTGCAAAGTAACGATGCGTTACTTTTTTAGTAACTGTAACTAGTTACATTTTTAGCGAAAAAAAAACTGTAACTGTAATTAGATACTTTTATAAAGTAGCTTTCCCTGCTGAATAATTTCGTTAAATAAACTGTTTATTGAATCGTCGCAATGGCCACTATCGTATCCGTAATGAGGTTTCGCACTTTGATCGTGTTCTTAATCGATGATACCGTCTTAAATTTTCACTACTATTTTGAAGACTCGATATGTAATATATTTTTTTTAATTTAAACGCGCTCGTCTTGCACCGCGCTTGTACCGATAAATAGAGGATAGTCCCCTATTATGAGATAGGATCCTAATAAGAGATCATGTGTTGGTTCCATTATGAACTTATTGCTCTTGGAGTGAAATCTGTAGAATAAAAAATTCATTGTTAAACTGTGTGATAGTTGCCAAAAATTTGTGATTTTGGATGTTGAAAACCTGCTATCTCATATTAGAATCCTGTCTCACAATCGGGATTCTCTAATATTAAAAATATGGCTGTTGTCTACATGTTTTTGTGCCTTAATTCGACAGGACAGTTCAGCATGCCGAGGGATAAGCGTCAGCCTTATGAAACGGATATACGAGTCCCATTACTGATATCCGGTCCAGGAATTAAGCCGTCTACGATTTCCGCGCCGGTCAGCAGCGTGGATATCTTCGCCACGCTTGTACACATAGCCGATTTGAAGTTTCCGTCGGACGGTACAACATTGCTCTCCGCTAGTCATGATTTGCTGAGAGACCGCACCGTCTTGATAGAATACAGAGGCGAGAAGTCCAATAAGCCGGCGTCGTCCGGTTGTCCGAGCGACAGGGATTTAAACGTCACGGCAAGTCTCCCGAGTATTTTTTTAATTCGCCCCTGTCAATTGCCACGTTAAGTTGCGTCGTATTTTTTTTCAGCTGTGCGAGAAGGAGATGGCGTGCAAGTGTCAGGACGCCGCGAACAACACGTTCAGTTGCATCCGTCGCGTCTCGCCGCATTTCAACAACATCTACTGCATCTTCGAGGACAATCAGGTACCGGCCGCGTTTCTCCTAACACTCGACAGTGTTACCGAATTTTTATTCGCGCGCTACCGAATTTTTATTATCTTCCTCAGCAATTCGTCGAGGCTTACGACATGAACGTTGACGAGTACCAAATGACGAATATCGGGTATACCATGAGTGAAGAAGAGAGATACAGATTCAGGAAACATCTCAAGAAAATGTCGGTGTGTCAGAAAGCGGATTGCATTTTAACAGGATCGGGAAGTGATTTTGAGTAATGTACATTTATTATTCCCTACCTAACTTTTTTTATAAATATTATCATAAGCGTGTGTTATGAAATGTAACAAAGTATCTTAAGTCAACCTACATATCCCGTTAAGAGAAATGACGTTGTCCATCTATATATTTATGTGAATTTATTTCTGCTTTCGACTACATTGTTTTATCTCGTGCACGTAATTTCTTTCGTGCATCGTAATATCGTAATATCAGAAAGTTAGCTTTTTGAATTCAAAATTACAAATAGTTTACCTTACAAATTCTTTTTCCCGAAAAGTATGAAATTAAATCGGATTTAGTCCTTATCTTTATAAAAAATAATTCTGACGATTTCTCGAGCGCATTTCAACGCAGCCTAAACGAATGTTGAATGACGCAACCTTTTAAGCCTGCTTCCGCCTCTAAATTTCCCCCTCCCGAGGTGTTGACATATAATTAAGAATCACCCTGTCTAGTGTCCGTTCTAGATCGGAAGTAAGAGAGCGCCGAAAGTTGTCTTATTTCGAATTATTGCATTTATGGAAATCGCCGTCGGAGAATATGCCGCGAATCTGGATATAAGAATAACTCGCCTTGCGCTCGGGAGGGAGGGGCGCGCCCCCCGCGACGGAACTGTTTTCTAAGCAAATATTTTTATTAAAGCCCCGCGGAGAGAGTCTCGAATATCTGAATAGCAATGGCGATATTCGCGGAGGAAAAGATGGGGGAGGGGAAGAGAAGGCGGAGGTGGAAAAAAGCCGAGCGCCGAAGACAGAACGCGGAGGCTATATCGGACGTGTACATATTTATATTGCTAAAACGTTTCTGGTTCCTCCGAGGATTTGCCGCGACGCGCGCGAAACAACGATCCCCGACTACTCGATAGCTTGCTCGCGCTATTATTTCACGTGTAAGCGATATAAGCCATTTCGAATCGCGCGCGACACAGGTGTACGTGGAGAAGCGATACCGAGATATATGCGATTTATATGGAAACGGATCAACAATTAAAGGATCACACTGGTGATATGTAGAGAACGTTAAGTGCAATTGTCAATGCTTTTATTTTTATTATATGCAGGGTAAAGTAGGATTCTTTTGTTGTCGGTGGAAGGAAAATTTGGATTGAAAAGTTTTTAAAGACAAAAAGCCCTTTTCTACTTTGAAATCCGATTTAATTTCATACTTTTCGGGAAAAAGAATTTGTAAGGTAAACTATTTGTAATTTTGAATTGAAAATTAAAAGTCTCTCCCTGCCTTGAAAATTTTTTATCTGATTTTGTCAACTTTGTGAGTCAAATCGCCTCACCTTATTCTATATAAATTATATGTACTTATTAATTTATTTTTTTTCTTTAATTTTTATCACATATAGACTAAGGTGAGGCTCTTTCGACCCAGTGGAAGAAAAATTTAGATAAAAATTTTTTTAAACAAAAAGCCGTCTTTCCTACTTTGAAAATTGAAAGCCTCTCCCTGTTCTGAAAATTTCCTATCTGATTTTATCAACTGACGATGAGTTTAATAAGGCATCGCCTTACTATATGAATTATAATCTGTTTTCTTTTCTCATGTATTATTTCTTGTATATGTACAGCTATATGCTGTACACAAAAAAATGGAACCATGTATCTCTCGGTGCGTATGCGACCGAGGAATAGTTAGATGCCGGCGCACGCACGAATATTCTTCAAAGTGCGACGAGGCTGGTGTGTGCCGGCGCACAAAGCGTCCTGGATTCGCCCCTTTCGGTGTCAAGGAGCGTGAGAGACGCTCTTTCACGTAACGTGAATGAACGTCAAAATGTTTGTAGACCACGGCGGTAGCCACGGGCCCGTGGGCCCGTTTAATCGTTTACACAGATGGCATTACGACGAATCTATCGGCCGCGTGCGCGAAGATCGTCTTTGAGATTATTCGTTAGCGGAGTTGCGGCCCGTTCTCGGCGACAAAGCCGAAAGAAGGAGAAAACCCGGGTCTTATTCCGCAAGATTTGCATCTCCGCCCGTTTCACCCGTGGAAAATGGACGAAAATGGGCCGCAGGGGGGGGGGGGGGGGTTCGATTTTTGTGTGAAATACGGATGAGAGGGATTTGATGAACGACCGTGCGATTAAGAAATCTGAATTTCCGAAAAATCTGTAGTTAGCGAGTCCGCGATGTGAGTTTCCTTCGATCGTGTTTCTTTGGCCGGTATTCATAGTAAATCTTATATTCAAGACAGTCTTAAAGATCATCTTTGGATACGCCATAGCCAACGAAATGTTCCATACAGCAGCTGTGGATAAATTCAAGACGATGTTGAATATAAGATCCGACTATGAATACCGGCCTTTCTCTCGCAGATCATTTCTTAAACAATTGTACACGTTAATCGTTCGAGAAATCGAGATCCAGGAAGACTAGATGTTTCTCCTGTTTACAACCGTCCCTTCAATTTCTTCCCGGATTTCTGCGAATCGATATTTCATTGATACTATATAGCAGCTCAATTCGATGCAGTGTGCGATCTACATGTAACCGAGTTGTATTTTCCTGACAGGAAGGCACAACGCGGGCCAAGCGATACTATTGTACAGGGATTTTGGCGGATCATTCGATCCTCGATCGATCGCTCGATTGGGCGTTTAGTGATCTTCGTTACATCGCCGCTGAAACGTGTAAGAGTCGGCTTGCGGACGAGACCTTTCATTCTGTGTTTATTGATCGTTGGAGCGAACGATCGCCTCCTTGTTGGCAAGGATCAATGGCTTTCGTTGCCTTTCTAGCCGTAGATCCAGGCTTTACTTTCGTCCCCCTTTCTCCCTCTATCCGGGGGTTCTAGCAGATACTTATGCCAAGTTGCACTTATATTGCAGGGAGAATTACAAAAGGGATCGATCTGTCTTGAAAAGATCGCCGGACGATGGTATATGGGTCTTTTAAAAAGAGATTTACATATATATCAAACACATCCATACATTTCATATAAATTTTACTGTATAAAGGACATCGTGACGCTTTAGTTTTCGAGAAAAGGCGTTTTTCAATTGCAATCTTCCTATATTCGCCGTGGATCAGTCGTTTCTCGAAATTTGATAAAATTCCAATCTCACGATTATTACCTAATAATAGCATCATGTAATTACAATATTGTATAATAATCGTAATATTATGCAATGTTAAAACGATTTGGCGATCGACGTCGTTATCGCGACGACACTGGCAGCTGGCGACGTACCTCGGCCTCGGTTCTCTTGAGATTGAAAATTCGTTCGTCGGACGCATTAAAAACTAAGCAATTTACAATCTCGCTGCTTCCCGGTGATCTGTCTTCAAATGGCGTCCCTTGTTATTCGATAATTAGCCGTTCCCTCTTTCGGTGTAACCCCGGCGCGAAGCGGAGCGTATCCTCTGATTTTCCTTTGGCCTGACTCCTCTCTGCGACCTCCACTTCGCGTTCGGCAACGCGGAAAATGCGAATTTACTGTAAATTAGTGAATTGGAAAATAACGGAGTGGAAGCGCTTCTTTTCTGACGGGGAGGCCTCGCGACGACGGTCGCGTTGAACGCGTAACAAGATCCGCGACCATAAATCATAATTGCTAAAACGGGGACATTGTCAGGGCCTATCTTGAACAAACGGGCAGGAATATTGAAAACTTCCATCTAAAATCTTTAACAACGTCAGTGTTTTCTTGACTATATCTGGCATTTTTAATAATACAGAAAATCCATCGCGAAAAACATTACCTCAGCCAGGGCGTGAACCTGGACTTCTCTACACTCCAGGCGGGTGTCCTCACCAATTCGACCACTATTATAAAAAATGCCAGACATGGTCAACGAAACACTGGCGTTGTTAATTACTGCCGGCGACATTGAAGAATATTCTTATAAAATTCTTAACTTGGGATAATGTAAATCTAGTCTTCTCTAAAAGAGGAAGGTGTGGAAAACAGATAATCGTGAAAAGTGAGAAAATTTCATTGAGTTTAATATTTATCAATGAAATTTTTCACTTTCCACGAGTTCACGCTACAGAAAAAGATTCGTGATTGAGTATAAAAAATATCAAGTGTCAAAGTAGTTGTGCAAAATAATACTACTTTAATTTATTTTCGCTATAAAAGTAGTACTGTGTTGCGTCACGCCAACTGGTCGCGAGTTTGTACTTATTGCAAAATTTAATTCTTTTATCATACTTGATAGAAAGGTAAAATATTTCGCGCAAAGAAACTTGGCGTTGAGTATTTGTCATGACACTTTTCCAATTCTTTGATTCTTTCATTATTACCGCCGTGTCTCTTGATTAGAAAACTGTGGCACAGTGATGGACTGGCTGCGGCACTTTTCTTAAAATGAGTTTAGAAACATGCATTTAGATTGAGTTACGTTCCAAAATCTTCATCTCCGAGAAATATTTTACTCGATGGCCATTCCGACACCATTTTGAGCGTGTCCGATCTTTTTAAAAATGAAAAAGATTAGTCCCTAATCTCATTTTAAAAAAGAGTCGCGACCACTCCGCCCGTCACTGTGCAGTAATGTACAAGAATAGAAACGAGTTCCTCTTCCTAAGCTACAAACAGTACAATTTTTAAGACAATATTAATGCAGTACGATTGTTAATTGTACTTTCTTTCCAATTACTGTTTGCTGTTTTCCACATTCTTCACTTTAGTGTAGATTATGTTATCCGTCCCGTAGTTGAAAAACTTCTGAACCGCTTTTCTCGGGGAAACGGTGTGCGCCGGAGTCGAAGGCAGCTGGATTCCACATTACAACGTGGCTATTCGTGCGCGGCGCGTTAAACGGCGGCATTGATTCCGCCATCGGCTAATTATAGCCTTACCTAATTTTCCGCGCGCGCGATACCAAAGAGCGCGGCGCGCGGAGGGGTCGAGGGGGGTGGGGGCGGGCGATAAGCGGGCAGAGGGGAGAGTTAGGGCGCGTCTTTAATTACTGATCCATCTCTGCATAAATGCGCCGCGGCGCGCGATGAAACTCGCATTACCGGTGCGCCGGCTTATAT